ATAATTTTAAACCAGTATACTCTCTTGTAAAGGGCATTAAAGCGTTAACAATAAAGGTTACAACGAAACGTGAAGCTTGGGAATTCTTGTTCTCGTCATTAGATATTTCTTTAGATACTTGTTTGTTTCAATTTTAAATATTTTACAACACTGGACCATTTTTAACTACTAGAATGAGTTATTGCCTTTCAGTTTGACAACGTATATCTATTCTGAATGAAAAATGTTCCTGATACATACGGACTAAGAATTCAGTTTAATTTAAAGAGAGAAAAAGTTTCTGACATTATAGTTAACATTAAGAAAACGAACTAAATGCTTACGGGAAAATTAAAGAAATCGTATTCTGAGAATTAGAGCCCGCACCGTAAATTTGTTTAGAAAATTTTAGAAACGCACATCGCCTAGACGAATTTAATGCGCGATTCACTTCCCGACTAACTACTAGCTTAGAATATTATTTTAAGTTAAGAAAAGTGTCAGATTTTGAAACTTTGTAACAGCTTACAGTGCCAGATAAATTATTTTAATAGCTGAGAAACAACTGCTCATAAATATAGGTAATATTTTTTGCTTATTTGATGTCAAATACGTAGCGTATTCGGAAACTAAGTACCGTTTCATTCTAGCGCCGTCGCAGCGCTGTGGTAGGCGTCCCGCGCATGCGCACTAGTCTTGTTCACTGACTTTCAACTTTCGCCATTTTGGTTGCTCTATGTTGTGTTTTCAGTTTGCTGTGCACATTCAAAATGTTTAAGACAATTAGTTCTCCCGCTGACTGTGAGATTCGTGCCGTGATTAAATTTTTGAACGCGAGGAATGTTAAACCGGCCGAAATTTATCGTCAAGTGACAGAAGTTTACGGTGAATACGCGATAAGTGATGGAATGGTGAGAAAGTGGGTAAGAATGTTTAATGCAGGTCGAACAAATGTCCACGCCGAGGCTCGGAGTGGTCAGCCTTTTGTTGTCACCGATGATTTGGTAAGGAAAGTTGATGAAGCAATTCATGAGAACAGACGCTTCACAATGACAACTCTTTCAGAGGCATTTCCACAAATTTCAGGTACTGTTTTGTTCGAAATTGTGTCTGACCGCTTGAATTAACGCAAACTGTGTTCCCGATGGGTTCAAAAAATACTCACTGATGTTCACAAAACCAAGCGACTTGGAAGTGCCCTGACATTTCTCACGCGGTACAGTGATGAGGGAGAAAACGTTTTAAACCAAATTGTGACAGGTGATGAAACTTGGGTGTGTCATTTCACACCAGAATCGAAACAACAATCGATGGATTGGAGACACACTCATTCTCCGAGAAAACAAAAGTTCAAAGTGACAATGTCATCACAAAAAATCATGTGCACTGTCTTCTGGGATAGGAAAGGCGTTTTGCTTACTGAATTTCTTCCCAGAGGTGAAACCATTAATGCGGCACGATATTGTGAGACTTTAACAAAACTAAGGCGTGCCATTCAAAAAAACGAAGAGGAATGCTCAGTAAAGGAATTGTGTTGCTCCATGACAATGCTCGGCCCCATACTGCTGGTGTCACTCAATCGTTAATTCGACAGTTTCACTGGGAGCAGTTCGATCACCCGCCGTACAGCCCGAACTTGGTGCCGTACGACTATCACTTGTTCCTGCACATGAAGCGCGAGCTTGGTGGCAAGCGCTTTGGATCTGACGATGACACGAAAAATGTTGTAAAGTCGTGGTTATCGAAACTGGCGGGAAGTTTCTTTGACGATGGTATACAAAAACTGGTCACCCGCTATGACAAGTGTTTGATCATTGGCGGAAACTATGTTGAAAAATAGTTTAAGACATGTATTTTCATGTAAAAATAAAATTTGATTCGAAAAAATTGTTTTACTATTTTTTTTTCTTTTTCAAAACGGTACTTAGTTTCCGAATACCCCTCTTATAAGGTAATACTGATGTTCTTCTAGACATGTTCTTTCTTCAAGGAAAATATTTCGAATTTATAACTTCCAGACAATGTTAGGTAGGTTATTTTCTGAAAAATCAGATATACGACTAAATTAGTTAAAAATCATATTGAGAGAAACAGTGAGTAGTAAAGTTTCCTAGTCGCAAGACGAAGAGTTGTGGAAAAAGGTTTTGCGACTGGGTCCCCTAATCCCCAATCGCCCTTCAAAATAGGGGGCATATAGCGTATTTTCTCCCTCCTTCCAACATACCTTGTGCTGTAAGTGTAGCACTCAGCGCATATTCGAGAGATTTAGGTTCGAGTCCTGGCGAGGGCATTGCACATTTTTCACGTCTCCTGCTTCAAAATATCATAATTACTCTATAACTTTATAAAGTTATCATGTCGAATAACTATATTTGACCTTCACAATTAGTTTCAAGATATTGAAATATAGTTGAAACTCTATCCTTTGTCATTTTATGAATTCTGCTGTCCTTTAGTCTCTTAGAAATTCTGACTGAGCTTTAAATTCATCAAAATAAAACTGGGCTGAAGTAGAGTGAATGCGTCAGGTTAAAGATATTTAGTATCTACTATGCTGCAATTAGAGACTTTTTTACTTCCTTGTACGAAGTAAAGGAAGTACACCGTGTTTCAAAAAGAATATACGCATTACAAACTGTTATTTTGTCCAAACTATTGATCACTGCGCCTCAGCTCAGCTATTGACGAAACGAATATATAGTCTAGTTTATATTAATATCCGCTAGATGTCAGTTGTCTTCTGTTCGCGTGGTAACCGTCACATGTTTAAAATGGCTACTCCGTAGCAGAAATCATTTTTGTGTTCTCGAATTTGACACCCTGTGACTTATTCCTGTGGGGTTTCATTAAAGACAACATTTATGTACCACCACTCCCACAGAACATGGAAGAGGTGAAGAACCGGATCCGTACTGTCATAATATCAGTGACGACGGACATGCTTGCTCAAGTATGAAGGAATTTAAGTATCGAAGTGATATAGTTCGTGTCGCTGATGGAGGACATACTGAATATCTGTAACATTTGTAATCTGAACTTGAGAGGGTTCGTACATATGTGTATAAAGTTTCATATTTGTATGTCATACAGTTTAATAAATATATGCATTCAAAATACGTATATTCTTTTTGAAAGACGCTGTATTCTAATCAGGAAAAATTCCGGGTATCATATTTCAAAGAAAATATCGATTTTGACGGCTATTGGATGCATTTTAACGATATGTTTGCGAGACATCTATTAAGAATAAAGGACTCTTTTTTCCCAAACGAATTATAAAACTGATTTAAAATGGGTTCAGAAGAGACTTTTTTGTGGCGTCTATACGTACGTACGTATGTGTGTAGCCTCAGAACTTTTGAAATTTTGTAAATATGACTACTATAACATGCAGTTGTGCACCTCATTTTTTTATTGCAATCGGCCGCACCGAACATATATAAATATATACATATATATATGTAATATACTAAGTGCGCAGTCATGAATCCGGTACTTTTAACTTCTGGCTGTAGACAGGGCTGGGTGGATACGGCAGGAATAAGATTTCATCGAAAATTATTGGCAAGCAGAGTGATCTGCAAGGCGGATCATTCACAGACCTCCGTATATATTCCAGTACTCAACATTCTAATACAAGCAAATGCGGGGAAAATCCGGAAATATTAATTTATGCACCCAACAGCTAGACTAGACTTCAAGTAATAGCCTTTTCTTGGAAGATTATTCATTTGCCAATCTATGTTTTCTGTAGTGAAACAGGGCTATTTTGCGGCAGAGCGCGTAATATCACTCAGTACTGGTAGTTTAACCCGAGTTCAAATCCCGGCGAACGGACTGATTGCATTGCAGGTTTCGTACGTTACTACAATATGTAATACGAATACGAGCCACTTTCTTTTAGAAATTTTAGAAAGTTCTTCACAAAGGCAAATTTGCTTTGCCGTAATCTAATAAATTAAGTCCTGCAGCGAAACAGATGAAATCCAATGAAATAAACCAAATATTATTTTACTTCTTCAAATTTCCAGTTTTTTTTTTCTGGCATTATACATATATTTCTAGACGCAACATTAAGAATTGAAATTGACCTGCAATATTTTTTGAAAAAAAATACTGCAGGTCAATTTCAATTTTTTTTTCAAATATAATATTTTTTTTTCCAAAAAATACAATACAAAAAATTTCGTAAAGCATAATACCAAAAGAATAATTAAGTCGCATTTTATTTTAAACTTTATGCAAAGGGAATTATGATTAGAAAAGATAAAGCAATCTTTTTATCCTTACTTTTGAAATAATAATGTAAATTTGAGAAAATGCGAAGCAGAACATTTCGTCGTCTGACAATTTGTTTTATGCATTGCCAGATGAAAACCCTCATTAAATTTATATTCATCGCTAATAAAAAATAAAAATTTTTTTGAGAATAGCATTAAAATAAAATAATGATTATTTATTTCTTAGTGGACTCAGTAAAATCAGTAAAAGATAATAAAAGATACAGTACAGAAATCCGAAAATAACTAAAAATTTGAAATTTCATTCGCAATTTAAATTTAGTCCATAAATTTTCTGTTACACAATGTAAAGAAAAGAAAAAAAGTTACAAGAAATATTTTTATTACTGAAATTATTATTATTTTTGAACTGGCATCTGCGCAAAAATGGATTTTCATTAATAAAGTTATCCGTTTGCATGAATGTAAAAGTGTTGCGCTCGCTATAATCCCTTATTTTGTTGTTTATTACATATTTTAACCTTTGAGCTAGCTGTTACGCAGGAACAAAAGCTTTTAAAAACTGTCAAGGCCCGATAACAAGCGGAAAATACGACAAACTTTATTTAGAAAGTGATTTTGAGAAAGAAAACTCAACAGGTTCAGGGAAGTAACTGCTCGACTCTTCGGAAACTTTCAAGGACGACTAGTATTCTCTATCATGCATTCACAGCAATTTCCCGCAAATAAGCGAAAACTGCTAATGACTATTACTTTATTCCATGGTTGTCCTTTGACGACGCATTTTGTCACTACTTCCACAGCTCTGGAAGAAGCTACGAATAGAGGAGACGGAGCGTCGCCCGATTCGGCAAACCGCGTAGCCTTCAGCCTCTCACGCAATCCCAACGTTTACGTCAGCGATAACAGAGCCAAGAAATTTTCTCCTGTCAGTATTACTTGATTCGAGTTGGTTCGGGAGCGAGTAAAAATTAGCTTTGTCTTTAGATTTTTAATGATAATGTAATCATCGTTATCAAGGTGCCTCGAAAAACCTCTCTTTGGTTCATTGTTCTGAACAGATAGAATCCGTAGGTCTTTACGAAGTTTATCTCGCCAGCATACTGATTTAATGAAAGAAAAATAACAGATAAAGATAAGCATTCTTTATAGCAGTCATTGTAGAGAATTTCACCATGTTATAAATTGTGGCCAGTGTGTCCTAGAAAAAAATTTACTGACAACAAATACATTTGTGCGCAATCAAATAGGGATATCTTTTTGAGCTTTAAATTTTCCTTTCTCTGCCGCAATCAAAGCGAAATTCAAAATGCCGAAAACAAGTGCTAGAAGCCTTAGTCTGACAAGCCAAGAGAGTTATTCAGCCGTTATTATAGCGGATATGGTTGCTGAGGTTCCCATACATCCTGAATCAGAAATTATTCAAAGACGGAGTTCTGCTATGAAATCCAAAGAGGAAACCAACTTTGGATATGACGGCCAAATGGACACAGAAAATATGCCACCTGCAACTGTAAAATTAGATGCGATGGTAACAGTTAACCTGAAACCAGATCGAACAAATGGAGGCGGAATATCTAAAGGTGTCCTTCTAAACGCAGCTCAGTTTGCACCCACTGACAGCAAACTGAAGATTAACCAGAAAATCGAAAACCAAATCCCTTTGAATTTACCTACCCAAGCGCCTGATGCAGTCAAAACGTCACCCACACCATCAGGGTTTAGTGATATGTCCATCTCCAGAAAAATAGCTTTTGGTTTCTCATTCTTGCCTTCTATTTTATTCGTTCTCTGTTTCGCTGTATTACTCCCTTGCGAAAATTACACAGGACCTCAACCTTCTGTCCAAGAACAATGGTCCATTACATTGAATGAAACAGGTAAGATTACTGTTAAAGTATATATGTATTGTTTTGGAGGGTATATGCATACTTATATGAAAATGAAAATACACTGAATAGTATAAATTTCTTTCCAGACTAACGTTATTAATTTAGGATTTAATAAATTTGTTGAACTTTTAATAAATACCTCTGAGCTAAAATTTTGTTTTTCGTTTCCAACATATGGTTAATGATTAACTTCAGAAGGAAGATAGTATGATGTCGTGTAAAAGCTTGTACTTTTAAGCCATAATTAAATTTTTAACATTACGTAGTTCATTCGAATATTTTTAAATTTTAACCAGTACGTTACGACATTTTATGCTAGATTAGCTTGCTGTCTTTGATGAAAGTAACTTTTTAAATAAAAGTTAAGTATATATATATGAAATTCCTTTTTCTCTATATAGATATATGAAACTCCTCTCTCTCTCTCTCTCTATATATATATATATAAAATATTGTATGATCTAAATTCATTTAGTGCGAAAACAAGTTACTACCACTTGCGCATATATATATATATGGGTGTGTGCGTATATGCACATATATATATATATATATATGTGTGCGTGTATGTATATGCACATATATATATATGTGCGTGTATGTATACGCGAGAATAAATTTTAAGATAGAAAAATTAAACATTTGCCTGTCCTTCAAGGAAAGCCTTCGCAGGGATGGAAAGAAACTGACGTTAATTTTTTCTTCTTTAAAATTTGCTGTTATTTTTGTACTGCTGTCAGGAGCTGCTGCTATAAGCTCTCTTCTAATAAATTTTGGTTTTAGTGATAATTTTAATTTTCTAAATTTGTTAGGTTATTTTATTGATATATACACATATATATATATATATTTAAGGGTGCTTCTAAAAGCTGAAAGGAAGTGGTTCATGATGTAAGATTCTTTACCTATAAGTAGCTTCACAAATTAAAAAAAAAAGTCTGCGAAAAAGTAAAAGCAGTAAGAAGACATAAATTAAATGCAAAAAAAAGCTATACACGAATTTTTGCCTTTCGTACTTTGGTTTCTGTTCCTTTATATATATAAAAACACGCACACGTGTGTGTGTTTATGTGTATAACATAAAGAAAGAAATTTAGAACTAATCTTTCACAAAGAACAAAAATGTAAATTTAAATAAATACATTTCAAACGATCCTGTAAATGTAAAGTTATAATTACGTAGCTGTAAAAATAAACCATCACAAGAAAAACAAAATACAAAGAAAGTAAAAAAAGAACATTTTTTATGTAATATATATACAGGTATATGTGTTTTTATAATATATATGCTCATATACACACACACACACACCACACACACACACACACACATATATAATATATAATATATATATATATAGAGAGAGAGAGAGAGAGAGAGATGTGTGCCTGTTTATTGTACGTATATATATATATTTAAACATCAATAAAATAACTTGATAAATTTCAAAAAGCATCAGTAAAACCAAATACTATTAAAAGAAAGTCTATAGATGCAACTGCTGACATCACTATGAAAATGAAAGCAAATCTTAGGCTGGGAAAAATTTACCCATTTTCTCTTCATCAATAGAGCGTTTTCCTTGTTATGTATACATACATACACGATGGGGCTTATTTTCTAAAATAAAAGCTGCGGGAATGTTAATAGATAGCACTCAAAAGTATTAATTGGTATTATTCAATTATGGCAAAGCACACGAGAGCTATCTGCCTAAAGGGGGAAAGATGCCTTCGTGGAGGACTTTCTAAGGGAAACTGGCTCGTATACACGTTACACATGGGGAAAACCACGAAAGCGCCCATGCAGCCAGCCCGTTTGCGGGACTCTAACCTCGGACTGTTCAGCGTCTTTACCGCTCGGCCGCTGGTGGGCGCCAAAAGTATTAATTGAAAACAATTATAATGAAATAAAATACATCAAATGCTGAAATGAAATAACTGCAGCCTTTTTTTTTGTTTAAAACTTTAACTTAAAAGAAAAGTGAAAGGATGGCTATTAATAAGAAACTATCACGATGAAATTAGAAGAAATTTCAACATATTATAACATCATTTAATTGTTTAATGTTTATTAATTATAGATCTTTACTTTCTATCTAAAAATTTTAGATATATTCTTTCTTATACATCTATTAAAAGTAAATTAAGCTTGAAAAATAAGTAATGTATTTGCTGAATGCAATGAATATGATGGCTCACCAAAAATTATATTTTCTTTTTATTTCTATTTTGAACACAATATTTGACCCGACAATTTGCCTGAGTTGTTTGAGTTGCCTGAGTTTTAATGAATTTTTCCCATTTAATGCTGAAAGATGCTTTTACGTATCGTTTCATATATTTTTAACACAAAGATAGTTTTCGCATGACATCAAAGTGTCTGCTTTTCATATAAAAAAAAAAATCCTCTGTACTTCATTATTAGCAAAATTCAGAGTAGCTCATGCCTCATATTAGGTGCTCTAAGTGGTATTTCATATGATATCAAGTGATTCACCTGGAAAAGACGTACCAGAGCACACTTAAAAAAATTCCAGTGCGTACAAGTAGAAAATGTAATTTCCGTCAGGAAAAAGATATACTCAAGCTGCCGTGCATTCCAAATGAAATAAGCATTGATATATACAACAGATTCACATATGTAGTCATGCCCTGTATTTGCAGTTTTCAGTTTTCCATTTTTCACAGCCGGCTAGGGAAACTAAAAGTATACGCTGAGCAAGACTGTACTGTAATGTGCAACACAGTAGTTCAAAAACACCCGATATTTTCTTCACCTATTTCCTTCATATCTCACCTATACAGCAGTTGTAAATATGAGTACCTGCATGAGTGTTTCTGATTGATTTAATCCAATTAAGATAAATTAAAGTGGTTCACGATTAACCTTGCAATTAAGTATTTATCTAATACATAAACATAAAGAAAGATGATGCCTTTTTCCAGGATTCAAACTCCGGACTTTCCTACTGCTAGTCAGACCTACTTTCTAATTATACCACGAAGGTACATGTAAGGAAAGGAAAAATATTCTTTATAATCTTAACCTGCTTTGTCAGGTTGAGGGTCACTCCTCAGACTCATATTGTTAGGGTGGAAGAGGAGTCGTGGTAATATCAATGGTTCAGAAAGTATTTAACTTATATTTCTTTGTTTGCATACCATCAAGTGCTAGAATAAATTTTATTTCTATGAATAAATAAAACTGTACATTTTGCTATAGAATACATTACGTTATTTCTTCACTATTCTGTTGTCTTTTCAGATTAAGTTAAAATGTCTGAACCGCTTGCTTTCTTATGTACGAGAACTTAAACACGTTTAACATATCACTTATCTATTGGAGCGGTCTCAAACTGGCGTGCTCCGGAACAATTTTATACTATCTGCGAATACATTTTCCGTACGTTAATTATTATGACATTAATTAATACTACAAGAATTTGAAGAAGGACTTAAGGTTTTGAGTCCAATTTTGCATTTGTAACTTGTCTTTTGGAAGCAAATATGAAATAAAAGGGAAATTTAAGATTTTTTATTTTGAGTTTTAATTAACGAATAATCTTTCAAAGAGCTCTGTCCTTTGATTTCTCATGTTAGGAATCACATCACACTTTTCAGAAGCATGTGACTACGAAATAATAACATGAAAAGCGTTGTTAAATTAACGTATTTTAGCTGACTTACTGAGTGGATACCAGCTTACCAGCTTACGCAAAGTCTGAAGTATCTTGCTCAGATACCTCTGTGTGGAGTTTAGATGTGAGTAAGATTCATCAAGGAATTTAATGATTTCTGCCCGTTGATTAAATTTTGACATGTAAGAGCTAATGATAGTTTTCTTTTCAAAATAAGGTGATGGAAGAATTGTTTATACATTTCTAATAGGTCTTTAGGTTATATATAAAAATTTTTGACAAGCAAGCTGCAAACCTTTTTATTTGTAATTACTAATTTTTGTGTAACTGATAAGTCGCTATAATCAATAAAAGCTTTAGTTGTTGCTATTTGTAGTTTCATCTAGTTAATTTAAGTAAAGTTTCTGAGAGGATAATAACGTGCCTTAACTAATTAATATACAAGCTGAGTATGGAAAGTTAAAGGCTAGATCTTCGCAACAACAACTGATACTCGGTCTTTTTCTCTTTCTTTCTATTTATTCAAATTTCTCATTTTGCTTGGAATAGAATTTTCTGTTCTTAAAATGTATTAATAAACATTACAATCCAAAAACAAAGCAGCCGACCCTTGAGTTCTTAGCTCTATTAAGCTACTTACTTACGATCAATACAAATCAATCCAAAAAGGTACTTATTTTAAGTTCCTTCCCAAACAAATTTGAGATTGATAAAATGTGTGATATATTAAAGAACCATTCTTTAAAGATTTATCGCAGAGGTATTACATATTTTCCCTCTTCAGTTTCTTCGGGTATTGGACATAATCGTAGCTGATATATTGAGCGGATACCAGCTTACGCAAATCCTCAAGTATCTTGCTTAGCTGTCTCTGTATGGAGTTTAGAATGGCTAATATGATTAGTCAGCACAAGCTGATACAAAAAATTAAGAAGCGCTCTATACAATAAGAAATACGTTTCAGGGGTTATACAAAGATTTAAAATTTACTATAATTATTTTTACATCAAATTGTGAATTTGGAATATTTTTAGAATTTCGTAATACATAATATACTGCGTTAAATTAATTTCCGTTCTGATTATAAATGTACTTGAAATCACTTTTACTGTTATATAATTCCTTAGTTTTCTTCTCGTTAGTAATGCTTGATACTGTAATTACATAAATTTTGTACATTTTCTTCCTCGGAATGTCTTTAACACTTTTCATGGAGATTTTTAGCTTAACTAAATTTACGTATAATACTATTAATCGGCCTGTAGGATGGATATTATGTACGACTAAATGGCAACAATCATCTGGAATGACTCTGTAAAATTTTAAAAGAGTGACCTGCTAGAAACA